TACATCATTTCCTTCTGTTTCTTCAGTCCTTCCAAATTGGAGATCGGAAATAATAGGGATAAGTCAAAAGTATCCCAATAATGAAGGCATAACTCACGGGATCTAATTTAGTCAATCCATAAGCAACAGTGTTTGAAATAGTAATCAACAATAACTAATCATTTTACATTATTTTTTTGAGAAAGAAATGAAAAACAAAAAGTGATGGTAGTAGCATAATAAAAATGATAATTGTGATTAAGAAGAAGTGGTGATGAAATAATAATAATAATAGTTTTTTTTAAAAAAAAACAAATTATCACCGGTGATAATGGAGATGGCGGCGACAATGATGGTGGTAGATGGAATAATAATAATAATAATAATTTTTTTTATCACCATCTCTAATAAAGGTGGTGGTAGAAATAGTTGATATAGAATAAATAAAAATAATATATCATTATTTTGGAAGAAAAAATTCATTCTTATTTCTTATTTTTATTTCAACCTTTCACGTGACAATGAAATTTATGTTTAATTTTTATTCTCATTTTCACTTTTCATTCTTATTTTATCGTTTTTAACAAAACAGCTATAAAGTGATAATAAAACTTTTTTTTTCTCATTTCTACAACTTCATTCTTAGTAAGCAAACATTGCCTTATGGTATCAAAGCTCCAAGATATTGGGGGAAAAAAAAAAAGCTAGTGATCTTGCTTTTAATCTCAACCATGCCACTTCCCTTATTTCCCTTTCACAAAAACTTTTAGCTACAAATCATGACCAGTCCACCCACATCGAGACAATGAAACCACTCCTTCTACATCTACTCTTCTCCAAGACACATTAGCAAGAACAAAAATACCCAACCAAATCTATTCTATCGTGAAAATCAACTCAATATAAATTTCTATCATACTCACCAAAAGTGATAACTATGCCACTTAAAAATTTCGATTTGAGAACCTTCTATTGGCTATGGACTCATGGGATTTTTAGATAATATACACCGATATCCCTAACAAAATATAAAAGATACCACAACGAAACAAATGATTCCTAATCCAAATCATCTTTTTTGGCTTCGACAAGATAGATCGCTACTCCAAATCATTCAAGTCTCATACACGAGAGCAACACAATCAATTGTTTCTCGCTCCAAAACCTCAGCTCAAGCATGAGACAAACTCAAAGTCACCTACGCAAATCAATCCACTACTTTGTTTTTATTTATTGATACCATGCAAAGAACCATCTCAATCCAAAAGGCTAAGTCTGTGAGGTAAGCCTCAAAAAATGATTTATATTATTCTTTAACTTAACTTTTTAAATGAAAGTCTTTTGGACTTAAAACTTACACATGTCCACGTGTTTAATTAGAAGAGAAAGTGAAGATAATGAGATACAAACTCGTTATCACTTGGTTATCAAGTCTTTGATACCATTCCTAAGGCCTTGTGTCTATCCTTACGACCCGAGATCTTATGTTTAGTCCGAGTCCATTTTTGGTAAGCCATTTGTCATGTAATTTGGACTCATGTAAAAAAAAAAAACATGAATTAATATATGATAAATATTAGCTTAATTAATTAATTAATTAAAATATCAAGTATTTATAGAAAGATTTGGGGTACGTATGTAATTATCTTTTCTACATTTCATCCTTCCAACTAAACATGGAGAACAAGTTGTACGAACTTTTTAATTTTTTGTTTTGATTCTCCACAGTAAAGGATATTATGAAACCAACCTACATATCGATCGATGTCTATATTGGTTCAATTCATTCGCGAGAATAATTCTTTCATATACTGATCATAAGATTCAAACTTCGAATTAATAAAATCAATGAATGGAACTAACATTCTTGACAAATAAATCTATCCGTTAAGGTTACAAGTTTTTTGAATTTGATTAATTAGTTAGCGTACCAGCTACATATTACAAAATATAAATGATGCCAAACATGGTTAGAGTAGCCACAAGTGAAGAACTATCAACCATTATTTATTCTTTTCAGCTTGAATCTTAAACGACAAAGTGGGGTTTAGGCGATCTAATTCCCATCGTAAGGAGCACTATGTTTAGTTGTCAATAGATTCATCATGTCTAACGTACGATGAGATTTTATAATATGTATAGATATAATAACTTCAGATTTAAAATTTTGAATGATCACTCTAGTTATTTTTTCTAACTGCAAGGGATATCGTAAGGTCAATGGTACATTATTTAATGAATTCGACTGTTTCAATACTTTATTATCATGCATGTTATCCTTATCTATCAAATTAGTCTTAACAGAATGCTTCTATATCAAACGAAAAGATACTGTCGGAAAAATCATGAGATTTTCTTGGATAAAATAATGATTAAATTCATATAATAGAAGTTAGATGAGATCTTAATTATCCTAAATTGAAAAATATATACATGGCTATAGAATAGGAATGAAGTGGACAAAATTGACGAGCAACAAAATCTAAGGAAGATCCTCTTTTTTCCATACACACCCACACATACTAAATATTACACAATATTAAATAGTTAAAATTAAATTTCATTTAAAAAATTTAAGTTTAGATTTCAGAATTTTTACTAACTATTGAAGTTTTGATACATATTTTAAATAGTTAAGATTGAGTTTACTTAAACCTTATAACATATAATTTTTTCTTAACGATATCTATTACATACTTAGACGTGAGATAGATATTTCAATAGATTTTTATGAAAATTTCAAAATAAATACAAATTTATTGGCTAAGGAAATTTTTGATAGATAAAATTTGTTTTTTTCTTCCTAAAACTGAACTAGGTTATAATTTTTCCCAAAACTACAAAGCCAACGTACAACAAATAGAGTGTGATTATTGGATACAAAATATGTGATCCTGATCTAGATTCCTACATGCACAGAAGTTAGGCAACTATAGCATTAGCACCACTCTATATCATGAAGGAGGACGGCAAGCAACAAGAGAATCTTACTGATCAATTAGCTATTGCAATTAAAATTATATTGTATGGCTTGTATTTTTCTGCTAGCTACATATACCATTATAAAATAGCAACTTATGACTTCGAAGTTTTGGCATAGACGGAAACCTTGGCTTCAACAAGTATTTCTCAAGAAACCTACCAATCCTTTTTCTTAGTATTTCTTCTTGTACGTACTAACCCTACTTTTCTTCATCTTAAAACAAAAAACTTCCAAAGCTTCACCTCTTCCACCAGGCCCCAAACCGTGGCCGATTATCGGAAACCTACTTCACATAGGCCAACAAGCCCCTTGTTGCCTTGCTTAAAAATCGAGTATATATAGAAAGACTCGGGGTATGTAATCATCTTTTCTACATTTCATCCTTCCAACTAAACATAGAGAAGAAGCTGTACAACTTTTTAATTTTTTGTTTGGATTCGACACAGTACGCTAGGGGTATTCTGAGACCAACATTCATATCAATAGATGTTTATATTGGTTTAATGCATTCGCAAGAATAATTCTTTCTTATACTGATCATAAGATTCGAACTTCGAATTAATAAAATTAACGAATGGAACTAACATTCTTGACAATTAAATCCATCCATTAAGATTACAATTTTTTTGAATTTGATTAATTATTTAGCGTACCAGCTATATATTACAAAATATATATGATGCTAAACATGGCTAGAGCTGTATCCACAAGTGAAGAACTATCAACCATTATTTATTCTTTTCCGCTTGAATCTTAAATGACAAAGTTAGGCGATCTAGTTTCCATTGTAAGGAGCACTATTCTAGATTCATCATGTCTAACGTACCACGTACCGTGAGATTTTATATCATGTGTTCGAAACAATATTCTAATTAAAATTCAATAGTTAAGGACGTTATATATATAATAGAAGGTTTTTGTAATATCTTCAGATTTAAGATTTTTTTATGATCGCCCTAATTTTTTTTCTTCGGATTTAAAAATTTTGCACAATGTTTAATGAATTCGACTGTTTCAATACATTATTATCATGCATGTGATCCTCATTTATCAAATTAGTCTTATTCAACAGAATGCTTCTATATCAAACGAAAAGATATTATCCGAAAAATCATGAGATTTTCTTGAATAAAATAATGATTAAATTCATATAATAGAAGGTAGATGAAAGGTCTGTCCTAATTGGAAAAATTTATGGCCATAGAATAGGAATGAAGTGGACAAAATTGATGAGCAACAAAATCTAAGGAAGACCCTTTTTTTTTTTTTTTTTTTCTATATACACCTGCACATACTAAATATTACACAATATTAAATAGTTGAATTTTAATTCCTTTCAAAAATTTAAGTTTAAACTTCAGAATTTTTACTAGCTATTGGAGTTATTTTGAATTTATTTTTTCATTTTTATTAAATTAAATTTGTAATTAATTAAGTAATTATGTTTTTATGTGATAGTTAATTAATTTCAAACAAAAGAGTATGATTTTTGAATTATGACTTGTTATAATGTTATAACGGTTACTCATTAAATCAAATTAGTTTTTCAACGAGTCATATTAATTATAAAAGGTTTTCAATCATCTATAAATAAAAGACTACTAATAAAAGACTATTGCTCATAAAAAAAATTAATTCTTTCTTTCACAATCCTCCTCTCAAAACTCTTTTCTTCATAAAATTCTACAGCTTCAAGAGAAATTCTCTTGATTAAAGAATTTTTCTACAGCATTATAATATTGACAATAATCACCTTAAGAATAATATAAAAATATTTTCTATATATAATTAAACATAGTTGCTTTCATCTTCGAATTTCTAGGACTCTATTTTGTAGACAACATAGAAGTTAGGCAACTATAGCATTAGCACCGCTCTATATCATGAAGCATAGCGGCAAGCAACAAGAGAATTTTACTGATCAATTAGCTATTGCAATTAAAATTATATTGTATATATTGCTTGTATTTTTCTGCTAGCTACATACCATTATAAAATAGCAACTTATATCTTCGAAGTTTTGGCATAGAAGGAAACCATGGTTTCAACAAGTATTTTTCAAGAAACCTACCAATCCTTTTTCTTAGTGTTTCTTCTTGCATTACCCCTGCTTTTCTTCATCTTAAAACAAAAATTTTCTAATGCTTCACCTCTTCCACCAGGCCCCAAACCGTGGCCGATTATCGGAAACCTACTTCACATAGGTAACAAGCCCCATGTTGCCTTCCTTAAACTAGCCGAAGTTCATGGTCCTCTCATTTCGCTCCGCCTAGGGAGTCAACTAGTTGTAGTAGGTTCCTCAAGGGCTGCAGCTATCGAAATCCTGAAGACCCGTGATCAAGAACTCTCCGGTCGGTGTGTGCCTCATGTGTCATTTGCAAAGGATCCTGAAATGAATAAGGATTCCATTGCTTGGACGTTTGAGTGCACAGACAAATGGAAGTTCTTTCGTACACTCATGAGGACTGAACTTTTCTCTTTAAAAGTTGTTGACGGCCAATCAACTGTAAGAGAAAAAATGGTCCGAAGAATGATGGATTTTTTGAGTAAAAAAGGAGGAGTTTCGGTCCAAATTCGTGAAGTTGTGTTTGTGTATACATTTAATACGTTAGCAAATATTTACTTATCGAAAGACTTGATAGATTTTGAAGGTGGAGAGAGTGAAAGAGTGAGTGTACTTGTAAGGGAAATGATGGAACTGTTCACAGCTCTAAATGTATCGGATTTGTATCCCATACTTGGTGGTTTGGATCTTCAGGGTCTGAGTAGAAAGACCAATGAGTGTGTCGGAAAACTTCGTGATTTATGGGAAAGCATTATCAAAGAAAGAAGAGAAAGCAAAGATGCTGATTCTTGTTCGAGCAATCATAAAGATTTTCTTGATGTTTTGCTCGAAAGTGGATTTTCTGACGAGCAGATCAGTTTTACTTTCGTGGTATGCATTGATTTCTCTGGTCAGAACATTTTGATTCTGTTTTTCTACAAATTATGCAAAACTTTTAGCTTTAGCTTGGCATGTGTAATTTGACTTAATAATTATGTCCGATCAGGAAATGCTGGCTGCAGTATCTGACAGTAGTAGCTCCACCATCGAATGGGCGATGGCAGAACTAATGAAGAAGCCTGAAGCAATGGAAAGACTTCGCGAAGAACTTGCTCGAGAAATTCCAGAAGGCTTCATAACAGAATCGAAACTAGCCAGCCTTCCTTATTTGCATTTATGTGTTAAAGAAACCTTAAGATTGCACCCTCCAGCACCACTTTTATTACCACGGCGAGCGACAGAAGATTGCCAAGTTATGAACTACACCATTCTGAAAGACACTCAAGTTTTTGTGAATGTGTGGGCAATTGCCAGAGACCCTGCCAATTGGGAAGAGCCTTTGTGTTTTAAGCCCGAAAGGTTTCTCCATTCTGACCTGGATTACAAAGGTAACCATTTTGAATACTTGCCTTTTGGTGGAGGAAGGAGAATCTGTCCTGGATTACCTATGGCTATTAGGAAAGTTCAATTGGCTTTAGCATCGTTAATCCACCACTTTGATTGGTCTCTACCAAATAATATGCTTCCTGATGAGCTCGATATGGATGAGAGATACGGGGTCACATTGATGAAGGAGCATCCTCTTGTGCTCGTACCGAAACAGAGGAACGATCATTAATTTTTTTTTCTCCAATAAAAGGTGGGTTTAGTGTTGGTATCTATGGCTGTAAAATAAACTATGCTACATCAAATAAATATAATAATATTAAAATAATAATAAAAAATTGAGTATGATTCATCCATCATAAAGCCTCAATTTTTTTTTTATATAGAATTCAAACTTATTTATTTAATTCTATAATATTAAAATAAATAAATAAATTAAGTATGAATCGTTCATCATAAAACGTGTTATGATAAGCTCAAATTGAATTTTAATGAAAATAAAAAATTCTTACGCGGTGAGCTATTATAGACTAGTGGTAAGCTATTATAGACTAGAGCTTATTATGTATGTTTATATATCATATTAGTATATGAAATAATAATAAAATAAAAATAAAAATCTTAAATTTGATAAAAAAAATTTGAAATTTCAATTAAAAAAAAAATCTGTATTGTGCAAGATCACGTGAAACCCCTTTCGATGCAGTGTTGAATAGTTGACATTTATCATATTTTTGTGTGGCTCGAGCCCCCCACCATATACTATATTAATTTTTCGTCTTTGACTCGTTCTGGGTCTGCTTTGTGACAGACAAATGACAGAGAAAAAGTAAAACAGTTCTAGTATAGTTCAGCACTTCAGCTGATAGTGTTCGATGATTCAAAGCATCATCAAGTAAATCCAACCCATGTATGTTCGAGTCAAGTGTGATGGAAATCAAGTAATTAGAGGTGACAAATCACAAACGTTTTAGACCAATGTCAGAATCATGGAATTAATCAAATCATGAAACAAACTATTTGGAGAAAAAATGTTGCATTAGTTGTGCTAAATCACAAATGGTGTTGGTAGACACATATCCGATGGCAGTGCTTAACTTATCTTTACGCATTAGAATATCAAAAAGCGCAATAATCCAATAAATTATAGAACTCAAGCCATAACCCAATAACCGTCGTAGAACCAAATCACTTTACATATCTTTAAAAAATAAATTATATGTCACATCAAATAAATAAACAATAAATAATAATATATAAAGTTTATAAATAGATCATTCACCGCAAAGCTCTAAATCTTTTGAATTGTTCGAGAAAAACTATCAAACAATTCATAGCTTGATTGGTGATTCTTGATAGAGTGCTTATCTTTTTAGGTATAGCGAAAATTCTTTTTTAAATGTGCTAATTTTTTTTTTTAAAAGACTCTTAATATTGTTTAAGGCATATATAAAGGAAAACACGAATAAAAAAATAAAAGATATTTAAAAAGAAAATAAATTCTCATAAAAAATTACGAATTAACTAAGTTATTCAAAATGATTTTTTTAAACTTAAGGCTTTAACTATTATTTAAAAAAACACACACACACATAATAAATAATAATTTACTTTGAAATTACCTTTTAATAATAATTTACTTTGAAATAACCTTTTAACTCTTTATCGAACAAGATATTGATGAATTAGCAGAAACATAATTTCTGAGTAAGGATTTTTGAACCTTATCAGGGAGGAAGCAAATAGTGGGACTTCAATTTTAGCACTAAACCTTACATTTTCTCCATAGCTTTAGATTTTGCTTTGCTGAAATGGAAGTGATGAGCCTGGAAAAATGGATGTCTGGTATGATATTCTGAAACGAAAAACTTACTACAATGCATGCAGTAAATGTAGCAGTCTTTTTGTCTGAACAACAGGGGACAGCAGTCGACAGAACCACATGAAGCTAAATCACACCATACCATAACAGAACGTATCTAATCTAGCTACTGCTCTTATCTCATATCTTGATAATTTCAATGTGACATTTATGGAGCTTCTGATTGCTGAACAGAAATGGAATCCGTAAAGCTTGAGAATATAAAACTATGGACCAAGTTTATGGCCAGCTCTGACAATTCCAGATCATGACACTCCTTGAGAGATTTTGAAGAAGGGAAAGATGTCACCTTTTTCGTACCCATAAGTTTATCGGTACTATGTTTTTGCGTTGCATGGGCTTGCATAGCATGGTCTCGGCTCCGGTACGTGGGAACAGAATCATTGCCAGGCCTGGGTCAAGTCTTTTCCATTGGGCTTTGCTTATTGGCATGGGCCATTGGCCTTTCTTCTGTGAAGACCCACTTTACGGAGGCAACCATAGTCAAGAATTTAATATTTGGGCCCATTATTGTAATTTTAATTAGGAATATAATAGTAAAGTTTTATTTATTATTTTTTAGCCAAAGTAATGATATCTTCAGAGCAAGTTGCGTGTTACTGGAGACTAAATCTCCTTTGGAGTAATTTTAAAAAGTACTCTTTAAATTAAAATTTGATGTATTTAGAGAAATTTAATGGATGTGTTATTCGAGACTAAATCTCCTTCGAAGTAATTTTAAAAAGTACTTTTTAAATTAAAATTTGATGCATTTAGAAAAATTTAATGAATATTTATCCGTAAAATTTAAACTTAAAAAGTTAAAAAAATAAAGCAAAATTTTTTAATCACCAAATCAACCCCTTGAGATTAATTCTCACTTTATGAGTTTAGGGAATGGACATCATATTAGGATTCTTCTTTTATTTTTGTTATCTTTTGTTTCATAGATCAAGGCTTTCCTAGTTTACTATTTACATTAATAAATCAATTTTTTTTCAATAAAAATTATTAGAGAATTTTTAGTAAACTCTGTAAAATATTTTTTTAAAATGCTGCTTAAGTTCTAAATTTTTTTTTTTCGATAGACCCTTTTATCACTTTTATGATGGAAAAGTAGCCTTCGAGATACAAAATCTTGAAAGTAATTTGCAAGAACAAACATATTTGAATAAGGATGAAAATTTTCAAGCCTAAAGTAAACTAAAAAAGGAATTTTGAAAAAATATATTTGATGAATATGATGCCAATATATATGTATAAAAAGCAAAGAGAGAAAAGAAAATAAGAAATTAAGAGTTAATACATCATAGCTAATTTATTTCGAATCATGATAAAAGGTGATTCTAAAATCACTATAAATTTTGCTCCTAAAGCAAAATTTTTATCCAATGAGGAACAAAATTGTCCAATACCATAAATAATATCATTATTTTTTTAATTTTTATATTATCCATCGGATGTCTATTTATCACTTTTTATAATTTGGTTGACTAAAATTTGACTAAGTTTATCTATATTTTTTTAAAAGAAGTTTTACATGTCGGGGTTTAATTAATTGAAAAAGAAATCTGATTTAAGGACTTGATTGCATATATCAAAAAAGAGGATCAAAATTTTTTTAAACAATGACTGAATTACATGAAAATAAAATACAGAAGTAAAAGAAATTATTAAAAAAAAATTAAAAACCAAAATGAATTTTGATGAAAACTTCATCCGCCATTGTCATGTGCTCCAATTCTCTGTATTCATGTCTAATTCAGTTCCATTTATCTCGTTCTACCTTGAATACTAAACCCACCCGTTTTGTCTAGAATACCAAACCCATCCATAATTTTTGTTAGATTTTTTTATTTTATTTTATTTTATTTTAAAGTCAGGTAGAGAACAAGTCATATATATATATATATGGCAGAGTAAATTCTAAATTAGTTCCTTCAGCTAGTTATAAAATGAATTAAATAGTCTATTTAGTTTTAAAAATTAATTAATTAGTTATTACCTTTTAAAATTTATTTATAACTTATTTTTTAAAATTTTTAATTTTTATAAAATATGAAAAAGAAAAAAATAATATAAAAAATTGACGAGAAAACAAACAGATGATGTAGAAAATAAAATCTAAAAAAATATATTTTTATTGTTTGTATCCGTATATCATTTATTCAATTCCTATGAAATACTAGACAAAAAGTAATGATTTTAAAAAGAAAGGGTACGATGAAATTCATGAAGTTCTTCATTGTATATTCCCACACAAAAATGATCTGTTTTATTTGACTGAAAAAGACGACAAATAATTAATTATAATAAATTAATGCAATTATAAAAATAAAAAATATAACAAACAATAAAATAAAAGAACATGCTCTTTATCTTATTAAAATATTTATTCAAAACGCCTTGTAATCTTTCACCAATGTGTAGGGGTGAGCAAATGGTTTGGTTAACCGAAAACCGAATAAAATCGAACCGAATTATGAAATTTGGTTTAGTTTTAAATATAAAATTATACAATATAAAACCGAACCGAAAAAACCGAAATTATTTTGGTTCCGTTCGGTTTTTAGAAAAAAAGTTTCGATTTCGATCGAAGACTCGAAATAAAAAGTAAAAAATTTTTTAATTTCTAAATCCCTAACTTTTCAATCTTCATTCTTGTTGAAACCGAAACATGCGGATGAGAAATAAATTTTGAGGACCGTTGAGGTAAGAAAATAAAATGACATAGTAT